CCTCCCCAGGCCCATCTGAAAGGTTTTCATCACTCAGTGATAAATTCTCAGGGTCCTCTAGGTTTTCCACATCACTGTTGTCTCTAGAGGGTATGGGATCCGTAACTTGACTCTCGGCGTTGGTGTGGTCCAGTGGGCGCCCATCTTGGGCCCCCAGTTCCCCTTCTGGGGACCCTGCGCTCCCCGCCTCCGCTCCAGACACCTCTTCTGGGCTGCTAGGCAGGCTTGCAAGCAAGTCAGCTTGGTCAGCGACACGGCCTTCTGCTCCGGACATGGTGAGACAGTCTGCGGGCGGGTCAGTGGAAATATCGTCAGAGACACACGGAGACGCGGAGATGCCAACACACTAGACTAAAGGGAAGGAGAGGAATGGGACAAACCTTTCAAAACTCCTGGAGCCTGGATGTTCGATGGGAGTACGCGATGTCGCTGGTAGTACTGAAGCCTCATATGTTCACTGGAAGTACTGGAGCCCCAGATCTTCAATGGAAGTCCGGGAGCCCCCGATATTCAATGGAAGTACTGTACAGGAGCCCCGGATGTGCAATGAAACTACGGGAATCCCGGATGTTCAATTCAAGAACGGGAACCCACGAGGTTCAAAGGCTAAGCCCCGTTTCCGGTTTCATGGGACCCGAGCTCCCACGCCCACTGTCCCTGGCCAGGTGTCCCCTCGGGGACCCTCATACACTAATGGACAGCCATGTGCTCTGCCCCTCTGAAGACGGACACACTGCACTTTGGGAAACATTCTTCCCAGAGAACTATCAGCAAAATGCTCCTTTTCATTGCTCTGCTTGATTGTACACAGTATTACGTTGGGGGGGAGGGTGTCAAAAGCCATGAAAGGAAAGTGAAAGTACCTGGAAATGGTCACTTTTTGAGACGGAGAGATAGAAATGCTTTCTGCAAATCAAACCGCTTAAAGGAGACCTTGAGAACCCTAACGGATAGAATCCCAGATGCTTTGGTGGTGCAGCGAGTTAAGCGTTTCAAGATCAACAGTTTGAAACTCCCCGCTACTCTGCAAAAGAAAGAGGAAGCTTTCTACTCGTATAAGGTTTATAGTCTGGGAAACGCACAGGGACACTTCTACCCTGTCCTGTAGCATCGTTGTGATTTTGTTTTTCATATGTTCTCACTTCTATGGAGTCGACACTGTAACTCTATGGGATAAAAAGCCCCGTCTTTCTCCGGTGGAGAGACTAAGGACAAGTAGTCAAACAGTTTACCGACTCTGCCACCAGGGCTTCACCAGGGCTCCTCCAGAATTCCATATGGAGTTGCCAAAGAAAATGCGCAACACTGAGGTCATTACAGTTTAACTGGATAAAAAAAATGAGGAATATTTAATACCAAACCAAACTCGCCCCCCATCAAGTTGATGCCGACTTATAATGAGCCCATAGGACAGGGTAGATCTATGCCCTTGAATTTCTGAATGTGTAACTCTTTATGAGTAGAGAGGACACCCCACTCCATCCCCCCACTCCCCCATGTATTTCTCCCACAGAGCAGCTTGGTGGCTTTTAACTAGTAACTTTCCCATTAGTAGCCCAAGGTACAACCACTATGCAACCAGGGCTCCTTTGTTGTTGGTTTTTTTTTCAATACTTTTATTAGGGATTCTTACATCTCTTATCACAATTCATACATTCATCAGGTTTGTCAAGCACATATTCACATATGCCACCATCATCATTTTCAAAGCATTCTCTTCCCATTTGAGGCCCTGATATCAGCTCCCCATTTCTTCCCCCTCCTGCCCCTGCCCGCCCTACCTCACAAACCCTTGTTATGTTATAGATTATTATTTTCATTTCTTACGTCATTCTCCGTTGCACCTCACCCACTTTCCCGTTATTTGCCCTCCTGGGAAGGGTTTATATGTTGATCCTTATTATTGATTCCCCCTTTCTCCCCCCACCCTCCCCTAAGCCTCCTAGTATCTCTACTCTCATTGTTGACCATGAGGCATTTATCTATCCTGGATTCCCTGTGTTGTTGTGGGCTCTTATCTGTAGCAGTGTGCATGCTCTGGACCAAGGGTCCCCAAACTTTTAAAACAGGGAGCCAATTCACTGTCTCTCAGACCTGTTGGAGGGCCAGACTATGGTTTAAAAAAAAACTATGAGCAAATTCCTATGCACACTGAACATATCTTACTTTGAAGTAAAAAAACAAATGGGACAAAAACACCCGGCGGGCTGGATAAATGTCCTCATGTGGCCCGTGAGCCATAGTTTGAGGACGCTTGCTCTGGACTAATCCGATTTGTAAAGTAGAATTGAGGTCATGATAGTGGGGTGAAGGAAACACCAAAGAACTAGAGGAAAGTTGTTTGTTTCATCTGTGCTATACTGTACCCTGACTGGCTCATCTCTTCCCTGTGACTCCTCTGTGAGGGGATGTCCAATTGTCTACAGGTGGGCATTGGGTCTCCACTGCAAGCACCCTGCCATTCACATTGGGTGTGATTTAGTTCTGGGTCTTAGATGCCTGATACTTGATCCTATTGACAACTCATGATCACACAGATGAGTATGCTTCTTCCATGTGGGCTTTGTTGCTTCTCAGCTAGATGGCCACTTGTTTATCTTCAAGCTTTTAAGACCCCACACGCTATATCTTTTGCTAGTTGGGCACCATCAGCTTTCTTCACCACATTTGCTTATGTACCCATTTTGTCTTCAGCGATTGTGTCAGGAAGGTGAGCATCACAGACTGCTGGATTGTTAAAACAAAGTGTTCTTGTGTTGAGGGAATACCTGAGTCGAGGCCCAACGTCCATCTGCAACCTTAATTCTTAACATATAGATATGAGTATATAGTTTTATTCCCCTCTCATTATATGTATACTTACATACATGCCTGTATTTAGGCCTCTATAAATGTCCTTTGCTTCCTGGTTCTTTCCTCTGTTTCCTTTTTACTTCCCTCTTGTCCCACCATCATGTTTGGCCTTCATTCAGGTTTAGTAATTCATCACTGGTACATTACCCTTGATTGACTGCCACCAGGCAGCCTACAACTTTCTTTTCATTGTTTTTAGTTCACTTGTTATTCGCTTGTCACAGGATTGGTCCTCTTCCCATTCCTTTTTCCCACCTCCCTTTCTCCTGTATCCTTCCAGAACCATTAGTCCTGTTCTTTTCATCTCTGAATTATTTATCCTGCTTATCTTACTTAGATAGACATGCAGATACATTTGATAAATGCAAAAACCAGGCAAACCCAAATAAAACAACAAAGGAAGTCAAAACAATAACAAAAAACCAAAATAACAATAACAAAAAGAAAGCCGCTGACAAAAATGGGAACGCCTATAAACAGTTCAAAGTCTGTTGGCCTTTATGATTGTTTTCCAGTAGAGTCAAATGGGGTGCCACACTCTGTCTCCAAAGTCTATTTTTGGTATTCCCTGGGGGTTTCATCACTCTGTTCCCCCTGCTGCTCTGCTGCATGCCCTCAGTACCTCTCCCAAGGTGATGGGGCCAGACCTTGCACTATTCACACACTGTGTCTCCAGCACTGTCTCCCACAGCGCCATGGTTCAGTGATGGACGCTGTATCCAGTGGTGGGGCCGGCCCTATGGTTCTCCCTGTGCATTGTCTGCTCTGAACAGGAACACTGACCTCGGGGCTTCGTGGGCCAAGATGTCTTCTCCTCCCTCTCTATCCCTTTGCGTTTCTCCAGTGTGCTCTAACCCAATGCGCCCCTCTCCCCATGCTGTAGCCCCAGGGCTGTCCTCTGAAGCGCATTCTTCTGGGCTGGGGTGGGGGGTGGGGGGAGGCAGTGTGGGGAGTGTGTGTGGGGGTGTGCACATAGTTGGAATCGGGGCCGGCCCCCCAGCTCTCTCTATTGGTTCCCTGATACATGCCGGTATGTTGTTGTACTCAAGTCTTGGTGCATCAGGCTGAAGCGTGGTTTCTCTCTCCCTCTCCTGTGGAACTATAAACAACACCCTTCCCTTGGGTACGTTATTATGGCTCCTTATTTTCGTTCAACCAGGTCTCAAATATTTCATGGGACGTAAATAAACAAAACAAACAAAAACCTTGTTTTCCTGAAACTGGAATATTATAGGTATCCTTTATTTTATTTGTTAAATCTGGCAATCTCTCAGGGAGCAGAGAGCAGAGCACTGTAATTAAGGCAGAAATCCCCTGGTCAATTCCCTGTGGACACTGCAGTGAATAACTCCATCGCTAATTTCAGATGGACTTTACCCCTTTCCTTTCTCTCCAGAGTCTATACATTAATTTGGAGTTGATTCCAACAGAGGCACTTGCAGAGCACCAACACAATTTTCTGGGATAATTTTTTTTTTATTTTATAGAACTACCCAATTATCCTATATAATTCCCACAATCTGTTGGGGACATCTTTGGGGTCTTTTAAGAAGAGAAAACAGCTCCACAGAAAGAGTTAATTGGCATTGTCGTGTCAACTTCAGAGATTCTCAGAGTGAATTATCTAAGGGGCTGTCAGTAAATTTTCTAAGGGCTAACGTAAATTGCTGACCACGGATGCTAGAATGAGGAAAACAATATCTCCTTCAGAGTAATTGTAAGATCCACCCAACAGTGATTAAACACAGCCGTATAAAGTGTTCTAAGGACAGGAGAGCTCCACGTCTGTGTCAGACTAAATGCACTCAGCTTAACAATGAATGAAACAATCATGCCATCCACAGAAAACAGACAGGCTAGTTCTACTAAACTTTCAAGGAACACATAACTTCGTCCTCGCCCAATTTTCATTTGAGCTCAAAAAGCAATGTGATTCTCATAAATCATTTAAGAAGATTAGTATAAAATTTATAAAGAAACAGACATTTTTAAAAAATGAAAATGGTAAAAGAAAATCACAAAACAATGCTAGCATAAACAAAAATGCAGAAATCTTAAATACTAGGTGGAAATGGGATTATCTAGCATGGCCATGTTGAATTTATTGCAGAAATATATGCATGTCTTGATATTAAGGAAGCTATGAATGCAATAAATATAGTATTGAATGAAAAAAATGTGTGACATTACTGTGGCAATGGTAGCATATTTGACACCTGCAGAGGGTAATATTTTATTACCCCATTATTGTATGAAAATATAAGTTTCAGTGATAATTTTCAATGAACATACTATTAATAAAGGCTATAAAATAAATGTAAAGGAGCAACATATTATTTGGGGGAACATTATATACATAAGAATACAAGTAAAACAATGAAGATTTTTTAAAAAGGTTATAGAACTGCAAGAAAGTCAAGA